AACACATATATGTTTTATTTAATCTTGGTTTCTAGGTTTGTGCCTTCCTGAATTCTCAAGATTTAGGATTCCAGATGACCACGCAATTTCAGACCTGTCTATGTACAATTATATAGAGGTGAGAAAAGTTTGGCTCCATTACACACCACAGTCCACAAACAGACTCGCAGTCTTTTTATCTTCCTTGGCTCCAACCCTGTCTCCTACATGCTGCATGAAAATATGTGTGGACCAAAGCACACATATATACACACACACACGCACATACACACAGGCACACTAACATGGTAAAAGTCAGTTGACTTTAACACAACATTTGTCCTTAGAAATAAAATCAACCAGGGCAGAGGCAGCTGTAAGTAATCCTTGTTGCCATAAACAATGTTGCCAGTTCAGTAGGGGGCAACAGAAATGAATCAAGCCTTTGAGCTTACAGGTCATTCAAAATTCTGGTTCAATAAATGTTTTGCTGAAACAGATTTTTTAAATACATATATTGCAGTTGTCTTCTGAGTAACTAGGTTTTGTATGTTTTCAAGGCCATGTCTTGTACTCCTAAGCTTTCTTGGGAGCGCTTGGGAGTGACGATTGCGGAAATGGGGTTTTATTTAACTCTTGTGTTAGCATCCGTTCTGGCGACAACTGTGAGGGAAGACGAGCAGCAGATCATTGTGCAGGAATTGAGGGGCTTCACCTAAGGTTCTCTCTTTAAGACGCCTGTCATTGCAGATGCGAGCACATGTCAACTCCAGGTGGTTCCTGTTCCAGAGGCTCCTAAATAGATTTCTCCATGCTATCATGCCATCGACCTTTATACCTCTCTATACCATGGTAAGGAATGTATTAAAGATTCCCCCCTGTTCTCCCTCTGTTTAGCTCCTAAAGAATACAGCAGAGGCTCTTTAAATTCCCCTGCAGGTTGCCTTCACCAGAATAAGATACCACGAGGCTGTGCTGCGCTGGCAGTGGCAGAAAAAGGTCAGAAGAATTTGACTACTGAAAACTTGATGTGTTGCTATTTCTCGGCTTTTTACTTTGCATCCACACTGAGATCCGTTCTGGACTTCGGCATTATGTGGCATCTTTGTGAGTTTAACTTGTAAAACTAGACAGAATTGCATCACTGGCTCATAAAGCCCTTTCTGGTGGGACGCAGTGATGCGATCATTTGGAGAAGCTGACCCAGGGGTGCCATTAAATGCAATTCAGATTCCAGACCGCTTTGAAAATTTTCTAACTCCATCTGTCGATGGCTTTATTGGACGCATATATACTGAGGTAGACACTTCAATGAACAAGATGTAGTGTCTACCCTACAGGTGGCTCAGGAACTCATAGGAAATGTGGACAGATATGGTGGAGAACACTTCAGGGGCTACTGCAAGGAGAATATGGGTGTAGGCTAGGAAATGAAGGATGAAGATACACTAGCCAGGAGGTCCAGGGTGTAAAAATGATCAGATGAAAGTTGGGGAGGTAAGTGGAGACTTCAGCATCCACTGAAATAAGAAGATTGGCTTATGCAGGGCTGAGAGACCTAAAAAGACTTAAACACTTTAGGTCAATAGCTTTGTCGTATAGAGAATGGGCCAGAAAGAGTCAAGATCTACCTGTAAGCTCTACCTCTATATAACTGAATAAAATAGGGGCTGGGAAGATTGCTCTGTGGGTAAAGTACTTCCTGCATAGTCATGAGAGCCTGTGATGAGACCCCCATCATCCACATAAGAGTTCGGGCTGATGAGAGTGGGGGAGTTGACTGGGGGAGGAGGAAGGATATGGGAGGCGGTGGCGGGGAAGAGACAGAAATATTTAATAAATAAATAAATAATAAAAAATAAAAAAAGAGTTGGACACAGTACACATGTGTAACCCTGTTCTAGGGGTGGGATAGGGTAGATTCCAGGGACTTGCTCCTCAAAACAGTGAGTTTTGAGGCTAGTGAAAGACTGTCTCAAAACAATAAATAGTAGAGAGAAAGAGAAAGCCACCTGACAGTGATCTCTGTCCTCTATGTGTGTGCACACTGGCAAGTGCAGCTCCTACATTTGTACAGCACACATACATATACACCAAATAAAATAGTGTCCCTGGCCTCAGACAGACAAACATGCCAAGGAGAAAGAGCCAAGCAGGCAGAGTGTGCGGGAATCAGGGCAGGGGCAGAAGAGAGGTCAATCAATCAAGTTGCTGCTTCAAGTTAAAAGCAACAGAGAACTGCACTCTTGTCTGTGATGAGGGAAGACACCTGTGCACTTGTCTGTAATAGAGGAAGAGAACAGCACTCTTGTCTGTGATGTAGGAAAGAAGTTTATCTCCAGATACAACCTCCAGATGAATAGTTTTGGATTTTTGCCATCCTTGCAGGTGATAAACAAAGGACTCTTCGTCCTTGGATCCCTGATAGCCATTGGAAGTGCCTACCTACTTGTGCACCACCTGTCCCCGAGACCTCTGGAATTCTTGAGAAGGCCGGCATGGACTGGAACCACTGACTACTGGAATAGAAGCGCAGGCATCTTCCAGCAAGTTCCATGGAGTCACTAGGACAAACCCAGAGCGTCAAGGTTCCGAGGAGCAAGTATTTGTTCTTTCTCCAAAATTAAGGACAAGAAGCATGTTTACTTTGGCACATTTAATTCACTACTGGAAAATAATTGTCAGCATGTAATTAAGTTTCCTGTAGAATGTTTGTGTCTGCCGAGCAAAGGGAAATGCTGCTGCTGGTTTTTTGTAGTGTTTCCATCACTTTGCATGCTTGGGCTGGGTCCATTTAAATTTAAAAATGTAAGAACCGAGGCCTCTTTCACTTCTCAAAAACAGGTTTTTTTTTTCCTTTTTTTTTCTTTCTTTTTTTCTATACAGGACATTATAGGAGCCACAATACTTAGAACTGAAAACCACAGCTTGCCTAGTGTGCTGCTTCCTCTTTGTAGCGGTAGATGGGGCCTGCCTAACCCCAGGAACAAGGCACTTGCTAAAACCGGGGGTGTGAACGAGAGGCAGGGTGTTTCAAAGAGTTCCCGGATGGATCTGTTCTATTCCCCAGTCTTCAGATAGCAGAATTATTACCTTTTAAAGATAAGAAAGGGCTATTAATGCCATCCTAAGTGAAGAATAAGAAAGGGTTGTTATTAGTAACTGAAATATATCTAAGAGTGAAGAGGAGATGGGAAGGCTGTCTTACAGACCCATGGAGACACAGTTCATTCCATTTCAGACACAGAAGCGGTGCCTTGAATGTCACACTGTGAGCGTTAACTTCATCTTGGAAGCGCGATATGGAGACGCTGTTTTTTCTTTCAGTAGGCTGACTGGTACACTTGAAAATTCTTTTCAAATATTATTAATTTTGAAAGCTATAATACCAGTGATGTAGGAAATACTGGGGTGATAAAGATGAAGCAATTTGGCATTTTTCATAGTCTCAAAGATGTCCTTGAGCCTTATTAATTTAGGTTTGGTGTGTAAGGAAAGAAAAAAAAATTGTTTCCGTGGAAAAGGGATGTAGGTCAGTGGTAGAGTGCTTACTTAGCGTGTCCAGAGCCCTGGGTTAGATTCCCTAGCATTGCAAAAATAAACAAACAGTATCATTGTTCCTTTTATTTAAGTTTGTTGGCTGTGGCTACTATAACAGGCAGACTGACAATAGGAAACAAACTACAGTTTAGAAACATGTATATTTCATATGCACGTGGGAGACACTCAGAAAATGAGCTGGCTTAGGGGCCGCAGAGATTGCTCAGCTGTCAAGTGTGCGCACCACTCTTGCAGAGAGCACCAGGTCCTAGCTCCCATGTCAGGCAGCTTGCACCTGCCCATTACTCCAGCTCCAGGAGGTCCAACGCCTCTGGCTTCCCTGGGCTCCTGTGCCCATGGGTACATAACCATGTATAGACTAACCCCCATGATTAAAAACCTTTAGAGGCCATGATTTCTATTAGTACCAACGGGGTGCATGGGAGGAATCGGAGGGAAGAAAGTGAAGGGCAAAAAAGGATGTAATTTTATTTTAAGTTTAAAAAATATTTAAAAGGGGGGAATCTATGTGATACATAATGTTGTGGGGAATGAGCTAAAATAAACATCTAGTACATTTAAAAATAACGTAAGCTGATATAGAAAGCCCTGGTTTACGTCATCTTCAACAAGAAGTAAAGTTACAGAGCCATAAAAAGACAAGGGCAAAGGACGGGAAGCCCTGGAGTAGCAATCCTAAGGCCACTTTGGCAAGTGGTGGGTGGGGACACTTTTCTTCTGTCATTTCTTCTCAGTGACTTCCCGCTCAAGGTAACCCTGCGAAATGGAGCACATTTGGGGTAGTATATTCTGTTCTCCTCCGGGTATGGGCAATGATGCATGCGAAGATGCCCTCTTCACTAACATGGCCCATTAGTGATCCAGGAGTCTACTGATAAGCGATGAGAATTTAAAACCACATTATATGAAGCTGGAGAGGTGGCTCAGTGAGAGAAGGTGCTTGCTGCCAAGCCTGATGACCTGAGTTCGATCCCCGAGGCTCACCTGGTGGCAGAAGAGGAATGTTTCCCCACAAGCTGTCTTCTGATTTCCATATGCACAATACGATATGAGTGCAATAATAAATAAATGTGCTAAAACTTAAATAATACTGCATGGTATTAGGACACTAAAACATTTATTTTCAGCCCTCTCTGAATGTAACTTTGTTTACTGGGAACTCCTCTGTAGGTGCAGGACTTTTGATAAAATATTAGGAAATTATCCAAAGGAAAGGAGAATTTGCCAAACTAATTTCTGAAAAGGATACATGGAGGTATCAAAAGATCTTTAACACTCCTTTTCCCATGCATGTTCTCCACTGTGGTATCATTAACCATCCGCATGACCAGCATGAAGTCTCTCTGCTTTTCTACAAAGCTTCTTAAAGTGTCTTCTGGAACTTGCTTCTTTAACCTGATGCCCTGACAGTCATACAACACACATGACAAGAGCCTTAGGTTTTCAGATAAAAGTAGGGATTGATTTATTACCTCCTTAATCAATTGAATTGGGCAAACATACAGCATGACACAGAATAGGACCCAACACCGTAACATAGTTCCGATGTCCCAGCCATTGCACGCATGTCGATGAGACAGTATTTATTTACACAGTGAAATATATCGGAGAAACAAAATGTATCATGTGCTTTGGCAAATATGGTCATTCGAATGTTAAATCCTGGCATAGGAGACGATGGTGCCAGATGCTCATCTTGTGCCACCAGGAGTTTCTCATGTTGTGAAGCACCCATTGAATGAAAAATAATGTGTCTTGTTCAGTCAGTTCTTCAAGACAGACAACATGTAGTCAGTTCGGATTTCCTGCCAGGCCACAAGGTTGTGCTGTTACTGTGCCAAGTGAGGACTCCAGGGCAGTCCTTAGTATAGATGTGTGGCAATGGATACAGGACTCCATCTCCCATTCTTACAAAGGACGAACTTGGATGACATCGGCCTTGGACGCATTGGTTCTGTCGCTGTCATCGACAGACAGGGAGTCATCACTGGTGATGATAAAGATGATGGAAGAGGAGTTAAAGGTCACTTTCTTCTTTGGCCTGTCCCCGTCTTTCTGTGACATCACGATGGGCCTGATCTGCATCTCGCTCTCAGCTGCTGGCAGGTTTTTAGCAGGCCGCTGGCATCTCAGCAGTCGGAAGCACAAGAGCTGTAGAAGGGACCTCCGAAACTGCAGAGAAAAGTGGAGCAATAAAGCCAATTATTAAATGAATCCTTAATCAGTTAAGTGATCCTTAATCTGGAGTAAAATTGAAGACAACTAGCTGAGACTTTCTCTCTCTCTCTCTCTCTCTCTCTCTCTCTCTGTGTGTGTGTGTGTGTGTGTGTATGTGTGTGTACACATGTATACACCTATGCACATGGATGCTAAAGCCAATCTCAGGTGACATACATCTTGTCTTTTGAGGTAGGGGCCTGAGGCTTGCCTCTTAGGCTAGGCTGGCTAGCCAGCGAGCCCACAGTGGCCCACATACGTCCATCTTCTCAGTGCTGGATTACAGACACCACCACAGCTGGCTTTGTTTGTATGTGTTGGAGACTGAACTCAGGTCCTCTGACTTGTCATTTCCAGAGCCCCACCCCCTTTCTCATTAGATGGCATGGGATGAAGTCACCCAGTAATGCTCAGCTCTACCAAAGTCCCCCATTGACGTTTGGTCTTTAATGTACTACAATTCTTGTTCACTAGATAAAAAAAAAAAAAGAATACTCTAATCCTTTGTGGTATCCATGGTTCCAATGTATATGAACCTTCTCTGAGGGCAGCTTGACCTTCAGATTTAAGGAATTCAGCGGTTAAGTACTCAGTGAGCAGCCCTGGGGCTGAGATCTGAAGACACAGCGCAAGGGCTTCTTCCATGTTTCTGAGACCCTCTCGGGTTTCCTCCATGCTCTTCCACTTCTACAAGAGCCTGAGTGACCAAGGTCAAACAGACGAGTACCACAAAGTACAGGGGACATTTACTGACTGCACAGAAAACAACCTGTCATGAGGTATTGCGCCATCTACAGTCTCTGGCCTCATAACAGATATTGCTTCTTTGTCACTGGGCTAAAAGGCTGAGATGTTTGCTAAGCATTAAGTCAACTGCAGCCAACAGAGCATCCTCATGCCAAGTCAACATGTTAGCCTTTGTACAGAATATCCGTATGCCAAGTCAACATGTTAGCCTTTGTACAGAATATCCGTATGCCAAGTCAACATGTTAGCCTTTGTACAGAATATCCATATGCCAAGTCAACATGTTAGCCTTTTTGTTTAATGCAGGGCTTTCGCAGGTCAGAAAACACCAATAAAGAGATACATTGATTTCTAGGTTCTATAGTGTCCCCACCAACTATATGCAGGGCACATTTAGCTTACATTAATATTTTAAAACAAAAATCGATGATGTACTCAGCAAATCACCATTTTACAAGTCAAGTTCAGTGCTCGAGATACATTGCTGTTGGTGTTGAGCGAAGTCTGTCGGCTAGAATGCTTCCTCACATTCAGCTCCTTATGGGAAGAAGGACTCCCACTTGCTTCTGACAGTCTGTTGTGTTGCTCAGGATTACTGTGTAAAGTGGACTAATGGGAGTCAGAATCATCAGGACCTTTAATTATTATTTGAGTGATAACGTTTATTAGTAGTATGTACAAACTATTTTCTTGTAAACTAACTATTAAGAAGTATTGCTTAACAATTACTATACATATATTGGTAGATTTTATAACTGCTTTTTTCCTTTGGGAATATTCTACCTTTCTTCTTAAATCTTTGATTTTTTTTATTTCTTTCTTAAAAGACTCTTTATTTTATTGTTTATGTATGTATATGGTGTGTGTGTGTGTGTGTGTGTGTGTGTGTGTGTGTGAACACATGTGTGTTGATACCTGCAGAGGCCAGAAGAGGGCATTGGATTTCCTGGAGCCAAAATTACAGCAACTGTGAACCACCTGACATGGGACTCAAAATCTAGTCCACTAGAAGAGGAACAGGCACCCTTAACCTCTGAGCCATCTCCCCAGCACACTAATACAAAATTCTTAAGTTGGGATTTTGTTTCTTTAGATTTATTTTATCCTTGATACTGTTCTAAGTTGTCATACCACATAAAATCTATTTCCTTTTTGAAACACTTAATTTTATTTTAGGTACATTGGTGTGAGAGTTTCAGATTCCTTGGGCCCAGAGTTACAGATAGTTGTGAGCTGCCATGTGGGTGCTGGAAATTGAACCCAGATCCTCTGGAAAAGCAGCCAGTACTCTTAACCACCGAGCCATCTCTCCAGCCCATGAAACCTATTTCTATTTGTTCCCCGGGGTGAAAGCAAGTCAATTCCAGAGCTTACCTTTCTGATCATGAAGATATAGATAACTGGATTGTACACAGTGCTCGATTTAGCAAAGAGATAAGCAACAATAGACACGGTTGGGGTGACCAGGTGTCCGTAGCCATTAACCACCAAGAAGCGGGTCACGATATAAGGCATCCAGCAGGTGAGAAAGACGAAGGCCATCAAAAAGCTCATTTTGGCCACTTTCTTTTCATATCTTAAGATCTTGATCACTTGGATTGTCTGGAGATCTTCGACACAGCGTAGCTGTAGGGAGTGAAGAAAGGATGGACTTTTCATTTTTTTTTTTTTGATTTTTTTCGAGACAGGGTTTCTCTGTGGTTTTGGAGCCTGTCCTGGAACTAGCTCTTGTAGACCAGGCTGGTCTCGAACTCACAGAGATCCGCCTACCTCTGCCTCCCGAGTGCTGGGATTAAAGGCATGCGCCACCACCGCCCGGCTTGGACTTTTCTTTTTAAGCAGATAAGCAGTCACCCTGTGTGTCCTGCCTTCATGGAAAGAGACAGGAGACGGACTGACTTCTGACCTATAGCTTGACCTAGCCTTTCTCTCTTCTGGGCTTCAGTTCCTTCAACTAAAACCTACCGTGTTTGATCTAAATAGCTTCTGAGGACATTTGGGGGGGGGGGTGAAAAAGGGGGAAGCAGGGGGAGAAGAAGCAGGATGGGCACACACACCCACAGCACATGTGTGGAGCTCAGAAGACAACATCCGGTGTAGCTTCCCACCTTCCACCTTGTCTGAGATGAGACTGGGTTTCTCTGGCCTGTTTCTAGAGACTCTCCTGTCTCTGCCTCTTATCCTGCTATAGAACCGCTGCTGTCACAGATAAATATCACGTCACTGTACCTGGGTTTGCATAGATTCTACAGATTCAAAAGCAATCCCTCATACTTAAACAGCAATTGCTTTACTGACTGAACCATCTCACAAGCTCCCTTTAATGGTTTTTAACTTACTTAATAAGGCTAAGATACATTATTTTTATCTAGAGCTTCAAATCCCTAAAACACAGCCTAAAAGGCTTGTGGTCAAATGGAAACAATCTCTTCATGACTGAGGAAACTGTTTTGCCCAAAGCACTGATTCATAAATTCTCCAACCAGATAACGGACTTACGCCATGCCAGACATGCTAAAGAGAGAAGCCTGCAACTCGTGATGCAGGCAAGTTACTTGCATGAGGTGCTCTGCTAAGGTAATGACATAGGCTGACGGCAAAGCTCATTTTTAACCACTTTCCCTGTTTTCAGTCTGTCCCTTGCATCCACTCCCATGTCTTTCCCTGACACACAGCAGTTAGGAAATTTCACACAGCTGAAATTAAAGGTGATGTGCAGCTGTGCCTCCTGTGTCGGTCATTGCAGCCTCTTTCTGCCTGGTCCCCACATGAACCGGCTTGGTACGTGTTCCAGTCCTTTCCAGCTCTACTAGTCTCTGACAAGTGGGTTCATGTGATCTTAAAATGAATATAATTATGGAAATTATAACCTTTCCCCCTCAGAATTCTTAACTTTTGAGAGTGCTGCAAAATGTAAGTTTGGGGGTTGGTATTGTCTGTTTGCCTTTTGCTTGTTGCTTTTGGTTATAGAGGCTGGTGTACGGAAAGCCAATGTCATCCCTCAGTGACCTGCTTGGGGAATGATTCACAGTGCAAAGTTCTACCAAACGTTAAGTCCCGTTGAGTCTTTCAACCCTGGGTAAATAACTCATCATATAGGGAGAGTTTGGTTCTTTTCACATCAAATGATGGATGTGGGGATGGTTTGGAAAGGGACATCTGCAGCCTTCAACTCACCATTCGAACGGAATACAGAATGTGACCATAGCAATGGCCTATGATGCCCATGGGTACCACCAGGCAGCCAAGAAACAAGAAGAGCACGAAGGAGGAGTCGTTGGCGTCCTTGGATTTCCAATCCACTGTACAGCCCAGTCCATGTACGTCCAGGATGTATCTGTTCCAGCCCAGGAGAGGTGCTCCTGCCCATGCCAAGGAGTAGAGCCAGATATAGGTAATGGCCCTCCAGGCCCAGGAGAAGTTGATCACTCTGGAATGTACCACACGGATATAACGTTCATAGGCCAGCACAGTGAGGGTGGTAATGGAGACAAACCCTGCAAGAAGAGAAAGAGAAGTAAGGTGAACAGGGAGACATCACAGGAAAATGACACATTCCACCAGAAACACTATACAGAGAACCTGGGGCCAATAGGAAGCTTGAGAAACAGCAAGAGATTTAGAGGGATGGCAAACCAGGCTCCCCAGGAAAATCAACTGGAAAGGTAGAATCAAAACAAAATGTGGATTGTAGGACAAAGATCAAAGCCCTAAAGTCAGCCCTGCACCCAAGGATGTAGCTTCAGCACAAAGTTCTGCCAAAGAGAAAGGGTAGAAAAAAAGCAGGTGGCCCCAGCATTCACCCCACCTCTCTGCTGTGTCACGTGACTGGAGGACCCGCCAGGATAGGAGCTGCTGTTTTTCACCACACCTTCCACACCAAGACATTGAAAAACCCCCCAAAGCCACCAGCCCAAATAAGCCCTTCTTTCCTTTAAAATGTTTTGCCAAGGGTTTTGTTACAGTAACCGGCGCAGCCTATGAGCAGACCTGGAGAAGAGCTCGCGGCCCGAGGTGATGGGCTAGCCCCAGGTTCCACAAAGCAGCTCTCAGAAGGAAAACACGACAGGTCTTCGAGGAAGCAGCCAGAAGGTGGAGGGGGGACTTGTTAAGAGTTTTGGGGACCGGTCCCAGCCCTCTCACTACCTTGCTGCTTAGCTTCCAAAATTCAGACAGTCTCTCTAGGCCCTGGATTTTTGTTTTCATAAAACTGAAGATCTCTTCACATTATAAAACTTTGTGATTCTGTTGTTAGAAAAGTGTGAGATGAAGAGACACGACACCTGCCTCGGACTCGGGCCGCGCAGTTAACATTCATTTGAACCCTGAGCTTTGTATGTGGCAGGGGGAAGGAGCAGCATTATTCTCAGTGTCTAATACACATGGCGTCAGTAAGAATTTCTGAACAGATAACTGAGGGTTTACTATTTCCTGACCAAAAGACCCTAGAGAGCAGTGACCAAAAGCAAGTGGTGTACCTCAATTCAAATTACACTAAGGAATTCTGAGCGTAAATTAGATGTGCTGTCTCAGAAATGTAATTTTAGTCTATTAAAATTTCACATCACAAATGATATACCCTTTAATTAGTCTTTAAGAAAGACATCTAGAAGCCTAGTTAACACATAGTAAGTTGATGTTTAAAATACAGTTGACTTCATTGAGTTTACAAATATTATTATTAAATATAATGGCATTTAATTTTATAATTAACTTCAAATACTAAATCATGGCCTTGAATTTGTCGTTAACTCATGTTGCATATTATTTCGTTCTCCATAGGCAAGAAAATTTGGTACAAAGAGTTTCACTGTTGTGAACTGTAAATCTCAACACATAGAGAGAAATAAACGCGTGTTCAGGGATAAAGCAACACGCTGGCATAGGAAGTGGGCACAGGCAGACAATCGTCTTCATGTGTAACTCATCCATTCCGTTAGCAACCAGCTACTGCCTAGCTACATGTCAATCACGGTGCTAGAGCAGGCATGAAGTCCCCTGGATTGCAGTGCCTTGCAGAATTGAAAGTCTGCTTGCAAGTCTGAGAAAACGTTCAAAAAGCAAACCAGTCTGGATAGAGGTGGGCAGTCCTTGGGCTTCCCACAGGTCAGGGAACCCTGATTGCTCTTCGAGCAGATGAGGGAGGGGGACTTGATCGGGGGAGGGGGAGGGAAATGGGAAGCGGTTGCGGGGAGGAGGCAGAAATCCTTAATAAATAAATAAATTTAAAAAAAAACAAAAAAAAAACCAAAACAAAACAAAACAAAACAAAAAGCAAACCAGTGAAGTGCAATGAAAGAAGAAGTCGGGAATAACTCAAGCCCAGGAGAGGGCGAGGACAGAAGGTGGGACACAGCCGTGCTGCCAGGATGACAGAACAGAACGGCAGTGTGGAACCGCCACCTTGGTGATAAGCCGGGGATTTGGAAGTTGGTAGATTTCCTTTTTAGCCTGTTTAGGTAAAAGACTTTCCAGTGTCAGTACAGTTTTGCTGTTGGTTTCAGCATGCTGTGTGTTAGCAAGCACAGTAAGTTTCAGGTGTTTCAGTCCCCAGCATCCAGTACCTTTCCAGGCTAATGCCAACTCAGGGTGGGTACGACGGGAGCAAGCCCTGCCTGGCTCGGATCCTCCTGGACAAAACATGTGGATAAATGAACAGTGGCTGTAATCTGACAGGTCTTTCAGGGTGACCGGATCGAAATGACCTAAACTACAGCCCCCTGGTGACATATTAGCAGTCTCTCCACCACGCCTGTGGGTTCTGAGCAAAAAATATTTACTGTAGACCGGGAAGAAGGATTCAGTTAGCAGAGTGTTTCCCATGTAAGCATGAGACCCTGAGTTTGATTCCCAGGACCTACATAAAAAGCTAGGCATAGCCAGGCAGTGGTGGCACAGGCCTTTAATTCCAGAACTTGGGAGGCAGAGGCAGGTGGATCCTTAAGGTTTAAGGCCACCCTGGTCTACAGGAGCTAGTTCCAGGACAGGCTCTGAAGCAACAGAGAAACCCAATCTCTAAAAACAAAAAGATAGACAAACAAACAAACAAAAGCTAGGCATGGTGGCACATAGAGACAAGCGTGGATTATGAATTCCTGGAGCTTGCAATCTACCCTGCATAGCCCCCTTAGTGAACTTCAGGCCAGTAAGCGACCCCATCTCGCAAAACATGGTAGAAAGCAGAGTGGACAGTGAATGCTGACCTCTGACCTACACATACGTGCACACACCTGAATACATACATTCTGTCTCAGAGAGATAACATTTTTGTTGACAGGGGCTGCTCGTTCATTTTCTGACTGCCCAGACCCGAAATAATAACACTGAAACTATATTAAGTACAACACTGCTTGGCTAATAGCTTAGAATTTTTATTAAGCAACTCTTACATCTTAAATTAACCCATTCTTATTGATTTGTGTATCGCCACATGGCTGTGGCCTACTGGTAAGTTTCCATCCAGTGTCTGTCTTCTTCAGCGGCTACATGGCATCTCCCTGACTCTGCCTTCTTTTCTCCTCTGTCTCTGCTTGGAATTCCTGCTTTGCTCTATTCGCTGCTGCCATAGACTCAAAGCAGCTTCTTTATTAACCAAGGGTAATAAAACATATTCACATCATACAGAAGGGAATCCCACATCAAATGTTGCATTCTATTTAATTCCTAGAGCATTCCTCAGGAGGACAGGGAAGGGTGGATGGGCTGTCTTGTCTCTGCTTACCAGCCCTTTCAGCGGGTCATCTGGTGTTGATTCTCGTTATTTCATGTAGTACATGTTTAAAGAAGAGCATGGCATGTAAAAGAAGTGGCCGCTAGCAGAGAAGGCATCGGCTATCATCACGCTTTGTGACAGCCGTGCTACCTAGTGTGTGGCTATTGGAAAAAGACACCTGTGGCTCGGAAGAGTAAACCGGTACTGCCAGCAGTGCAGGCTGTTTTGAGAACCCAATTCGGACCTCAAAACTATCATTTTCTCCTTAATATCATGTGTTTTCTCTCATGGGCACTATCTGGAAGGGGGGTAGGTTCTGAGGAGGAGGATGGAGTCCAGTATGAGTGAGGAAGGCCAAGAGAGGGTAAGGGAGAAAAATAACCCGAACACAATCATGTATGTGTATAAACTGGGATAATTAATCCCTTTAAGGAAACCTGTATTGTACCAGCAAAGTTATGTATGAAAGCCCCCTGCTGCCCATTTTACAAAACAGCTTTTGGCTCCTTTATGAGTGCAAACAGAAGCAAAATGGCTGTGCCTATTTACATTAAGATACCACCTGCCATTCACCACCTCCTGCCCAGCACTCACCACGACAAACAGACTGATATGTAACAGCCCAGACAGTAAGACAGCACCACCTGCAAACCTCCCAAAGAAGGGAACGTGAGCACCTGGGTTTAGTAAACCATCAGAAAACCTCTGACGATTTATACAACATACCAGACCAGGGACGAGTGCAGCACACTCACCTAGACCCTGGAAAGAGGCCATGGTCCTGTAGGGCCACACTGACCTGTTATTGGAATACCAGCAGATGGACAGGCAGAGAATTCCTTCATTAGTTCTTCAGTCCAGCGGAGTTCCCCATTACTTGACACTGGCCTGCTCAAATTGCTGTCTGTCTGACCATGGACGGGTTTTAGGTATGTCCTCTGATTTTAGGGGAAAATCCCCATCTGATGCCTATGTGTGGGTTGGTGTGTTGAACTCTGGTAAATGAGGCTTCGTAGCAAGTGCTTTTACCTGCTGAGTTGTCTGACCGGCCTTCAATAGTAATTTGAAATGGTATTCATTTCTTTTGTATTTCCATCTACACTTTAAACTACCTTGTGCCATAATCCTGGAAGCCCCCTCCTTCCTCAATGGCCACACTCCACAGTCAGATTGACTTTTAATTGAGAAGGGGATGGAGCAGGCCTTTGTAAAGAGGGAGAAGGGGTGACAGAGGAAAGCAGTGTCTGAGGGACTGGCAGATCACCAGAGAAGAACGCAGAGGGGACAGAAAATGGAGAACCAGATACTTGAAAAGAAGAACAGTGGAGCAGCTGGAAGGGTCTGAGGACCCTGGGACTCTACCAAGTCAACTCTCAGTGGAGATGCGCACACCATGCCTACACTGCCAGCCGCTGGAGCTGGCAGCTTTGACAAATGCTGACGACAATCTCTTAGCGTGCAGGACACAGCTGTGCAAACAACTGCAGGAGCGAGGTAGGCGCTAATCAGCTGAGTCTGGACCTAGGAGGGCAAGGGAGCGGGGCTTCCTCAGCCTGGGAAATACTGGGATGGGCTATAAGAGAAGCACGTTTTGAACAGTTGAGTGTGAGGAGTTTGTGAGCTGATGGGAATGTGAACACAAAGCAAAGCTGGGGAGATGGAACTGTGGGTAAAGCGATGGCTGCACAAGTGTCGGGACATGAGTTCTGATCCCTACAACTCACAGAAAAGTGGGTTCAGTAACACAATCTGCAAAGACAGTCCTTCTATAGTGAAATGGGAGGT